TAAAATTTAACTTGTTGTCTAAGTACCACCCAACCCCACCGTTCTGCAGTGGGTTTTGTTTTGGGTGTTTTTTTACTTTATTTAAAAACATTTTTTGTGGGGGGGAGGTAAATGGATATTTATTTATTTATATGGAGGTACTGGAGATCGAACCCAGGACCTTGTGTGTGCTAAGTATATGCTCTACCACTGAGCTATACCCTCCTCCCCAGTCTTCGGTGTTTTTGTTACAGCAGCTCGAACTGCTGAAGACAGTCATGTACTAGCTAACATGTCTCTTCTTCCTGCCCCTGGAACACTTGTTGTTCTTGCTCTCAGGCGCAGAGACCTTCCTAACCCTGGCAAAGCTTCCAGAATTTGGGTCTCCGCTTCTTGCTGCTTTTCTCATCTGTCCAAACTTCTGTTCAGCACTGGCAGTGGGGCGGAGTGGCTGGAAGGTAACTGTCCTTCCTGAGAGCTCCCCAGCTTACATGGACACCGTCACCCAGTATGTACAGAGCATCTGCTGTGTGCCAGGCCCTGTCTAGGTGTGGAGTGGATGGCAGGTGACGGGAGTGGCATGGTCTCTGCCCCTTTGCAGTGCACAGTCAGATGATGGAGCCAACTTCACAAGCAAATACTGTGTGAGGTGGTAAAAGAAGGAGTGCGGCGCAGGAGCCCAGGGTGCGGGGGCCTGAAGTCTCAGCTCACACAGGATCCAGAGAGGTCTTGTCTTCCCTAACCCCCTTCACCAAAAGTAATGCACATGCTCTTAGGACAGGGCAGTGAGTGAAAGGTTCAGAACTCCTAAGTGGAAGATTGAACAGAAAGATGGCTTAGCAAAATCTCTATTTTCTACTCAAGAGGACTTTAAGCAAGAATCAGATCTGACCCACATTGGCTTCTGAGCCCTTGGATAGTGAGATTTCTCTTCTTCACTGTTGTACAGTTTATAAGGTCTGATTTGAGATTCCTCCTACTTTTAGAAGAATAGATAAAGAAATTGGTCCACAGCCGAGCACTGTGGGCATGGTGGGCTGTTGGTCACTGCTTCTCTCCTTTATATCGTCTCTGTTTTCCCTTCTCTTTGGGGACACTGGGAGCTCAGCTTTCCCAAGGCACTAACAGAGAAATTATAAAGTCTTCAGTAGGCAGATAGTCCCAGACAAAGCAAAATATAAAGAATAACCCACACAGTATCTCATTCCTATATTTAAAAGTATACAGGATGGTAATCTTATAAAATGATCTGGTGAGATGGGGACCCCCCTACGTTTTGCTATACTGTTTTTTCCTAGCTACCATTCATTATGTCCTTGTGTTTCTGGGTACAAGTGGACATACCTGAAAGAAAGAAGCATTGTAACAGACAAATGACTATAATAAAACAAAACAAAAATCTCTCCTGCTTTTTAAAGACTGTCCAAGAACCCTGGGCTGTGCACAACTTTTAAAACTTGTTTCCTAATTCCTATGGTAACAGTAACTTACACATATTGAGTACTTGCTCCATGCCTTCCAAGCCTGTGGGGTAGATACAATTACTGTCTCCATTTTATGGAGGAAGAAAATGAGGCACAGAGAGGTTGGGTAACTCTCCGAAGGTCATGTGCAGCTACTACGTGAGAGACTCCAGTGCCCACCATCTTTATCACTAAGCTCACTGCCTCTCATGCAAGTACATTCACTTTGTTGCTGGAGCTACTCCCCCCGCCATGAATCTATGGCCTCTCCATCTTTTATTAATGTATTATATAGTGTCAGTTAAGACTTCTCCATTTCAGTTAAGTCCAGATTAAGATGATTTATGAACTAAAACAGGACCTGGTTTACCTCAGTTGGGTCCAAGAACAATTCTCTTGCCCTGATAAACTTTGAATCGAAGCCACGCCCTTTTTCTGAGCTGTGATGAGAAAACAGCTATTTTGAGTTGCTGCCTAGGCATTTCACAGGATGACGACTGTGCTCACACCCAGAATCTGCACATTTAGATGAGGACAGAAGTTTAGGACTCCTGCCTCAAATTCCTGCTTTGCTTTTCCTGAGGCACCTTTTAAAATGACCATTTGAGGCTGAGCCTATGTAAAGGGAGTGACCTCCATCCCAACCACCTTATACGTAACAGGTGCTTGCTACCACCTCGCTTGCGACCTGGGATGGAGGACTGCCTTTCCCCAACTCACTGCCTCCCTTTCTCTGCGAGATACCTGCCAATCCTATGTGGCGGCTATGCCTCCTCATCCAACAGATCATAATCTGCATACGCTTAATTTAGTACCAGCTGTGGGTCCCCTGACGCACAAGGTGTACTGTTTTCCCTCAGCTAATAAATGGTGCTGTTTCATAAATTTCCACAGTCTTGTAGATGGTGAAAAATGAATTAGGGGAGATTGCAGCAGCTGGATTGCTAAAAACCTGAAAAATCACATTAAGAAATATGGATTTAATTCTAGACCCTCTCCCTCCCCCGGGATCCCCTAAAGGGCTTTAGGCAGTGACGTTTATTTAAATAGATCACTATGGCAACCCCAGTGTGGAGCATGGATTCAGAGAAGCAAAACTGGAGGCCAAGTGGACGGTTAGGAAGCTTTCATAGGACTCGATCTAAGATATTGGTGGCTTGAGTCAGGATTGGTGGGGAACAACGGATGGAACTGATGGATGTCAGTGACTGGATGTGGAGGCTACAGGAGAGGGAGGAATTGAGGATCATAGCTGATGTTTGGTTTGGGCAACAGGGAGGTTCCATTTTTAGACACAGAGACTAAGGGAGGAAGAACAGATTTAGGGAGGAAAGACTCTAATTTTAGTAGGTTGATTTTAAGGTGGGATGGCCAACGTAGAAGTCTGAGGTTTAGGAGGGAGGTCCTGTGTAGAGACAAAACATGTGGAAGTAGTTGGCAATGGATGGAGACTGGAGCTTCTGAGGGTGTGTCAGGACAACAGAAATCCTAGGGCATAACCTTGAGGGACATCAACTTTTAGGAGATGGGCAGAGGTACAGAAGCCTGAGAAAGAAACCGGCCTGAGAAGAGAAGTGGAGGGAGAGCCCAGAGCATGCAGGGTCAGGGAAGCGGGGCAGGGGATGCTTCTAGAAGGAGGGGGTGGCCAACAGGATTACATGTTAGGGAGAGTTTGAGTAACAGAGGACTAGAAGATAGTGACATCAGTGACTCAGAAATCATGAGTGACCAGCTGAGGGCAATTTAGGTGGAGCAGCAAAGGCCACAGTTGACTTAAGGGGTGAGCAATCGGTGGTGAGCATAGATACTTGGCTCTAAAGGGGAGGAGACGTGATGCTGACGAGCTGCGGAAGCACATAAAGCTGAGGACAGCTGTATGTCTACCACTGTTTCCATACCCACCTTCTCTTTGAGAGTTAAGAGACTTGAGTCTATCTAACTGCTAAAGAGAAGGAGTGAGTAGGGGGGAGACGTTGAACATACAAGAAGGAGGAGAGGAAGAGAAAAGGGTATGTTTGCAGGACACGGAATCCATGACTGGTGGATGAAGATAGCCACCTTGACAGAAGAAAGGACACGACTTCTCCTGGGTCAGATAGGAAGACGGAGAGATGAGGAGGACGGTGAGTTTCCGGAGGTGGAGGTGGGAAGGGTTCCTCTCAGTGTTTCTGCTTTCTCAGTGATGTAGACGGTGAGGAGTCTGCTGCTGGAGGTGGGGACAGAGGTGGAGGGGTAAAAGTTTTAAGGAGAGAACAGAAGGCTTCATTTGGATTCCGGGGAAAATGAGGAAAGAAGATGGCAAAGGAAAGCACGGAAGAATTGCCTGGAGGATTGAGGACCAGAGGTGGCTGGAGACCAGGGATTTAGATCCACAGCTAATCCTTCAGCGGGGCTTCTCTCTGTAGGAATCAGCTGCCAGGGCATGGGCGTAGGGAAGGCGGACAGTTGGATTCTATTCTTAGGATCCTTTAAGTCCTAGGAGATTTTTGTGCCTGGAGAGGAACACTGGCTACCATCTGTGCTGTATTTATTGTTTGTTTAATATATTTACTTCATAAGCCTACTTAAGCAAAAACCGTCTAAATATTTAAACACCATTTATATAACCAACAAGTCAAAATCTACACATTTTAGAAATCAAATTATTTAAACATTGGTTGCAAACTTAAATACCCCTACACATTTCAGTAGAATCGCCAGTATAATATGTCAGCTTCTCTAAAAGCATAAACATTTTGGTAAAGCACATACATCTTGCAAGGATTATAAAATGTATTACACCTACACTTAAACTCATTATAAAAATGGGTTTGTAGACCCAAGAGGACACTGTCTCAGTTCAGAACAATTTTTGAATTTGGATATACAAAAGAGGAGTATTATCTCAGTGCAGATGAAGTTTTGGGTTTAATCAGTGAATTCTTGGTTGGGACCTGGACACTGCTTTTACCTTCTAAGATGATGGAACTTTGAGACAGTATTTATCCTACATATCTTGGGAAATTTCAAGCCCACACCTTTTCCATGTATTAAGCATACTGTAACCGGGTGTTTTTTTCTTTAAATGATGTCATCTTTAAATTTAATGACTGTGATATGCAGATGTCCCAAAGATATCCATGCCTGAATCCCTGGAACCACTGAATAAGTTGTGTTTAATGCCAAAGGGACATTTTCATATGTAATTAAAGTTATGGGCCTTAAAATAGAGAGATTATCCTGGTTTATCTGGGTGGCCCAGTCTAATCACACTAGTCCTTAAAATCAGAGAATTTTCTCCACTCAAGTCAGAGGCATGGCAGAAGGGTAGGTCAGAGACTCAAACTGTGAGAAGGACTTGGTCTGACATTGTTAACCCGAAGACTGATAGTCAGGGACCTCAATCCTACAACCACAAGGAACTGATTTCTGAATGTGCTTGGGAGTGGACTGCACCATTTCAGTAAGGAAGGCAGCCCTGCTTACACCTGGCTCTTGACCTAATAAAATCCCGAGCAGAGAATCCAGTCATGCTGTGCTGGACTTCTGACTCACAGAAACTGTAAGATAGTAAATAGGTCAAAGTTGTGTTAAGACACTAACTTTGTTGCAATTGTTTTACAGCAATAGAAAACTAATACAATAACTTTACTGCCATTATTGTATAAATTTACCTAGCTCATTTGCATTTATAAAAAACTTCCCCAGTGGCCCTGATATTGTTGCTTTCTCCAATATCCCATCTCCTCTTCTTCTTATATAACTCCTGACTTTCAGCTAGGCATGGCTGCCTGGACTAAAGACTCTGTTTCCTAGCCTCTCTCCCTTGCCTGGTGTGGCCAGGTTGTGACTAAATGCTAGCCAGTGAGATGCAATCAGAAATGTTGGGTGGGGAGGAGGGTATAGCTCATTGGTAAACTGCATGCCTAGCATGCATGAGGTCCTGGGTTCAACCCCTAGTACCTCCACTAAAAAAGTAAGTAAATAAACATAATTACCTCACCCCACTCCCAGGGGAAAAAAAAAAAGAAAGAGACAGAGAGGAAGAGAGAATGCAGAGTCTTAACTAGGAAACAAGATACATGGTTTATGGTCATAGTTCTATTAGTCAATCATGCTGTGATCCTAGACTTCCCTCATTATACATTCAAAAAAAATAATCGAAAAAAAGAAAAAGAAGTGTTGGGTGCACCTTTCAAAAAGTTTCTTTAAAAGGAAATGGGTGTGCCCTTTCTTCTTTCTTTCTTCCTGGGGGCTGTAAGGCTGATGTAATGGTTGGAGCACAAGGAGCCATCTTGGGTCAGGAGATGATATGCTAAAGATGGTAGAACATCAAGAAAGGAAACTGGGCTGTGATGATCATAAAACTGCCATCCATCCCTTGACCCTTTATTTGCAGATTCTTCTATGTGAGACAGAAATAATCCATTATCTTGTTCAAGCTATTATGATTTTGCATTTTATTGTCTCTGTAATCTCCTTACAATTAGTAGGGTAGTATAGAAGCTCTCTTTCTAAGAGATGATGGATCAGGTTTGAGCAGTGGCCAGTTATCTTTTGGATGTTTGACTAATTCATCATCATGTAACACACTGTTGGACTTTCTTCCTAGTTGTAACGTATGACCAGATGGTGCCAATCAGTCTCTTTCATTCTTGGTAAAGTTCCAGTTTTTTTCTGGAATCACTCACAGTTCTCTGTATCCATCCTTCCCTACTTATGCAGATAAAGAAAAATAAATGTATTTTATGAATAGATAAAATATCTGCTATATTATGTTTATACTCTTTTACTTACCAAAATTAACTAAAAATATTCTATTATATTCATACTTCACATAGTATATTAACTACCTTTTTGCATATTTTACAGTGACTTTTTCCTTTTTGAAAATCACAAGAGTCATGGATTTTAAAAATTCACCCTGTTCCAATTAACTGTACTATTTTTCTTTTGATTATCAAATTGTCACAGAATGTCAGTTAGGAGCCTATAAAATTGGTTCCTTTGCCTTCTCACCTCTAAGCTGTACATTTAAAAAAAGTATCCTTGCTTTTTGTCTTCAATAACATGTTCCATGCCTAGAGTTATTTATGGCTCTATTCTTCAAGAAACCCTGAGTCCTTTTAAAAGTGAGTAATATTTGAGGCAAAGATCCAGGTGCTAAGAATGCATATCGGATTTTTCCTGATGTTGTTTCTATGCTACTTTAGTGACAAAGTTTGAAAAAGTTATTTCTTTTGAAAACCACAAATTCACACTGGTATTTCCTATTTAACTCAAGCACTACCAAATCCTTTTTTATTTGACTCTAACATATAGTGACATTTATTTTCTCTACAACATATCTTCTTGTACCCTATAAGCCCTGAACCAAATTGTAATGGCATCTTCTCTCTTTAGTGATCCTACAGGGTCTCACTGATCACTATTCTCTACTTTATTGGTAGATTTGTCCATGCTGGGCCAATGGGACAGACAGGCGAGACAAAATTTATAACACTGGCAGGAGAGTGGTTGAAGGGGTGAGTCATGGAATCCAAGGTAATTGGACTTTTAAGAAGGAGGATAAGACAGTACAGACCAGGAGAAAGAAGAAAGGTGATGGGATAGTGTTGAGCAGGTACAGTGAAGGTCACTGAGAGAGCTGGGAGGAAGGAAGTGGTGCTCAGAGCACGAAGCGATTATAGTTCAGACTATAAAGGTGGACCAGTTCCAGGGGGTAGCCACGGTCACTGATGTGTTCCATACCTGGAGATCTACACTTGCCCACGTGTGACTGACCTCCATCACCAGCCTCCAAAGGCAGCTCTATATAACCACTCTCGGCCAAAGCAAACATACACACCACGTGTCCTGGGTGGGGAGGTGAGGGCCAGAGTCCATCTGGGATTTGAAACAGACAGGCACCAGGTTCACTGCCTGCTGGCTGCCCCAAGGTACATGAAAAATATGTACTGTGTTTGGGCTGGGCGCATGTCCCCTTCTTGCTGCCCCAGCCACAGGCTCCGGGCTGCTCTGTGGACCACCCCACACTCCTTCTACTGGTTGAACCTCCCGTCCCAGCCCACACACTGCTGGCTCAGCTTCTGACTGTGCTGGCTGAGATCTGTGATGCTGGCACTCCTCACAGGAATGAGCCTGCAGAGCACACTGAGGCTGGTCCATCTGGTCCCCTGTAGGTGCCTGTCAGGCTCACCTGTACCACCTGTTCCCAAATAGCACTGAGCAGGAAGCTTGAGTTGGGGATGGGGGCAGGAGGAGCAGAGTCTGCAAAGTAGCCCCTGCCTCCCTACCTGCCAAACCCTGCCCTGACCCTAGGGCAGCTGGCAGAAGGAGATGCAGTGGGAGGCTGGGAGGCAATTGTGGGGGTGGAGTAAGAGGGGCAGGTCCCGAGACACCACAGCTCTACTCTTCATCTTGGATGTATGGCACAGGGTCCCATGCAAGGAGGTGGAATATAGGCAGCCAGAGGGATCCCCTCTCCCACACTAAAGGTGCTGCTTCTGGGGCAGGAGAGGGCAGAGGACAGAAGTCAGGGCCTAGATTACCATCCTTGAAAGGCTAGAGTCCTCAGAGTGGGAAAATGAGGAAACCAGAGAAGCTGGAGTATTTCCAGCCACCCAGCAGGTTCCCTCGACGCAGGCGCAGAGATACCCGGTCCCCAGGGTCCAGGGGCAGGAGCACAGAGCTGGTGGCTGCCTCCCGGGTCACGTCAGGGTCATTGGCAAAGGCTGAGATGACAGGCCATGTGTTCAGCATCAGGCTCACCTGAGGAGGGGAGCCCAGTCAGCACCTCTCCCGGCCCTTGTCTCAGGACCCCCACTTTTCTGAGAGCTTCCTCCTTTCTCTCCAGCTCCAGAGGGACACTCTGGAACCTGGGAATCTGGGGCTCAGCACACTCTCCTGAGAGGGCCAGGGCGGGGGGCAATGTTGGACTCTGCACCTCCTTCACACTCTCTGCCAGGCAGGACCTTTCCTCCTTGCTTCTGGGCTCCACAGGATGCAGGTCAATGGAGGTCTACCTGAGGGTCAGCTGGGCTCCACTTATTACCCTCCCCCACCTCCAGAGCCGGGGACGGGGCAGGGCTTAGTGTTCAGTTCACCTGAACGGTTTGGCGGTTGTACACCTTCACCACATGGAACCGGAAGCTGTAGACACCCCGGACAGGGGCCACGAAGGAGCCCGAGGCCCGGTCAAAGCCACCGCCCTCGTTCACCAGGACCTGTGGGAAGTAGACCCTTGCTGAGTGGGGTTCAGGGATGCCTGGGGCCTCAGGGAAACCTCGGAGTTGGGGGAAGGGACAGTGAGTAAGGAAAGGAAGGAGTGGCAAGTAGACTCAGGAATGCACGGATTCAAAAGAAATGGTGAGAAAAGTCAAGGAGGGTGTGATGGGAGTGAAGGGAAGGGAGACAGGCAGTGGGGCTTGGGGACAACTGGCCACAGCAGGGGCTGTTTCCTTAGCAGCAGAGCGGGCTTGGAGAGCGATTCCAGGTCTTTGCAAGGCAGGGGGATTACCTGGTCGAAGTAGATGGCCCCACTGGTGCCGTTGCCAATCTCTCCTGATGGCTCATGGTGGTGGCTTCGGACTGCAGCAAATGCTACTCTTCCAGGGGGCGCCTCCCCCAGGGCTGCTCCCCCGGCCCCCCCTGCAGCAGCTCGGCCAGGCTCACAGACCACCAGGCATTCACCTTCCAGGAGAACTGGCTCTGTCCCTTCCTGGGCCCACCCGGCCCTCAGGGCCAGAAGTGTCAGGGCCAAGGGCAGCCTGGGGCTGAGTAAGGGACCTGGTGGCCAGTGTCGCTTTGCTCCCAGCATGGCTGAGTGGCTCTGTGACCCACAAGCCTTCTCTTTCTGTTCCTTGGTTTGCCCTTCTCTCCCCTAGGCTCTAACCACCCCACACCCTGCCTCTCAGCTCTCTCTCTGGGACTCACTGTCACCTGGTCTTGGCATCTCCCTCTCCATACCTCTCTGTGCCCCAAGATTCTGTCTTGCCTCTCACTCCTGCTGTCACTGCAGTTCCCTCCTCCTTGGCAGGGCACAAAATGACAGCAGTTGGGCTCTGGGAGGGAGAGGAGAAACGAGGCAGCCAGACAGGAGGGCTACAGCCAGAACCACAGGGCAGCCCCTCCCAAGAGCACTGGAGGCTGGAACTGGGATCACAGAGAACACGGGTGTATGCCTGAGAATGTGTGTGCATGTGTGCATATGTGTGAGTGCGTGCATATATGTGAGACAGTTCCTGCAGCCTCTTCCTCCTCCTCACTCCTCCCCTCTTCAGAATCCCTCCTAGCAGCCTCTTTTCCTCTTTTCTTGTTGGAAACAAGAGAGTGTCCTTGTGTTTTCCCCACATTTGTTTTGGTGGAAAGTGCTTGGGCCAACAGTGTCACTATCCTGTGACCCTGGGCCAGTCTCTTTCTTTCCTTGGTCTTCCATATCTTCATCCGAAGGGACAGGATTAGTCCCTTTAAGGCCCTTTCACCTCCGACTCTCAGTTAGTGGTTCCCCGTTCCTGAGAAACAACTGCGCGGAGCCACCGAAAACCCAGAGGAGCGGGGAGAGCTGACCCTCAGGCTTGGAGCGAGAGTCGGTGACGACAGCGGGCGAG